GTCATTATTATTTCTAAAATAATCATTATTGCTATTATCATTATATAGATAGTTATAATGATGAAATAATAATAATAAATAGCATAATAATTATTATAACTGCGCAATAATGATGATAATAATGATAATCATGATGATAATGACTATAATGATAATAATAATGTAAATAATGACAGTAATGATAATGATGATAATAATTGTTATCTAGTCCATTTATAAACTAAATAAAGGCCAGAAGTAATAAAATCCCAAAAGCCGTAAAAAAACTGCTAAATCTAGCGTATTACAGCCTTTTTCATGATAATTCCTTTAATATTGACAATTATGATGATAATTATGATGATAATGACAAATTAATAATGATAAAATCATAATTATAATGATAATTTTGATAACTACTGCAATAATAGCAATAATTAACTCTATTCCAATAATATTCATATTAATAATGGCAGTAGAAATAATAACATCATTATCATTGTCATTATGATTATTATTATTGTAATTATTATTTCCAAAATTATCATTATTGCCATTATCATTATATAAACAGTTATAATAATAAAAATAGCAATAGTAATTAGCATAATAATTGTTATAACTGCAATAATGATGATAATAATAATGATAATCATGATGATGACTATAATGATAATAATCATGAAATAATGACAGTAATGATAATAATGACGATAATGATTATCATTCGGTCCATTTATAACTAAATAAAGGCCAGAGAAACGTCGAAAAAAAACTCTTTTTCGCTTTTTAAAGGTAATTATGAAGATTTTCACATTAATTCCGATAATTCTGATGCTTTTCGTGCTAATTCCATTATTATATAAAATAATGATGATAATGACAATAATAAGGATAAAAATCATAATTATATTGATAATTTTGATAATTACTGCAATAATAGCAGTAATTAACTGTATTCCAACAATTTTCATACTAATAATGGCAATAGAAATAATGATAACCATTGTCATTGTCATTATAATTATTATTATTGTCATTATTTCTAAAATTATAATTATTGCTATTATCATTATATAAATAGTTATAATGATAAAAAATAGCAATAATAATTAGTATAATTATTATAACTGCAAGAATGATGATAATAATAATGATAATCATGTTAATGACTATAATGATAATAATCATGAAAAAAATAACAGTAACGATAATAATGATGATAATAATTATTATTCAGTCCATTTATACTAAATAAAGGCCAGAAGTAATAAAATCCCAAAAGTCAAAAAAACGGCAAAATCTAGCGTATTACAGCCTTTTCAGAGAAACGTCGAAAAAAACAAAAACATCTTTTCGTTTTTTAATGGTAATTATGAAGATTTTAACATTGATTCGGGTAATTGTGATGATTTTCATGATAATTCCTTTATCATACACAATAATGATAATAATTATGATGATAATGACAATAATAATGATAAAATCATAATTATAATGAGGATTTTTATCATTACAGCAATAATTAACTCTATTTCAAAATTTCATATAGTAATTGGCAATAGAAATAATAACAATCACATCATTGTCATTATAATTATTCTTTTATTGTCATTATTATTCTAAAATTATCAATTATTGCCTGATATCATTATTGATAAATAGTTATAATGATAAAAATAAGTACATAATAAAGTTAGCATAAACAAATCATAACTGCAATAATGATAAGACTAATAATGATAATATCATTTTATAATACATACATGATAATCAAATATAGTGACAGTAAGATATAATAATGATTGATTATGTCCATTTC